TTATTTTTAGAGAGTAGTTTTTTATTCTCTACACGATTCTCAATCGTTTGAGTATACATTTGCGAGACAATTTTTCCCCAATTTGTTTAATTATTTTTGAAATTGTTAACAAAAAAGATATCGATTAAAAAAAAAAGTGCTGAGGGACCCATAAATCTCCACGTTTCACACGATTCTCAATCGTTTGAATATATATTTGCGAGACAATTTTTCCCCAATTTGTTGAACAATTTTTCGAGTTTACCGAAGTGAATTCATTTTTCTCATTCCGTCCATCGATTGTTTCTTCATCATACCCCCACTCCGCTCTATATGGAATGTTTTCTTTCGTCACGATTTCCTGGAATTATCGACCCTCTCGCGTTTGCTGGTCTTTCCGAATCATCGACACGCTCGGGCTCCCGCTCTGCTTTATCTATACCTACGCCCTCCGAAAATTACCGACACTCTTGCCCTCGCGACCTGTTTGATTCACAGGTACACCCGCAAAATTAGTTCGGCTCGGGCGGCCAGACAATTTCGCGGTTGAAGCTTCGCCATTGGCGTTAGCAATCTCCCCTATAATCTCTGGTATAACAGAAAAATCCTCTGAATAGTTGCGCATGCCCCGTTATACTTGCAAAGTCTTATCCCTTCCACGCAATTTTGCAATCACGTTTATTGCTGATAATTTCCAGAATAATGACTCTTAAACGTCGATTCAAATGAATATAGTATTTACAAACGAATTGCAAACGATTACAATAAAAAAAATCATTTAAGAGTGATTAGAAAAAAAAATGCGGCTAACTACATGAGGTATAAGTTTTTTATTTTTAATAAAAAAAAATATCTACTCTTAAACATTATGACCTGTTTTACAATCACCTGCGAACGATTTACAGTCGATTGTATGAGTTCGTTTTTGTACCTGTTGATAATTTGCGGCTAATTACCTACTGCTCGAGAAATAATCTCTGATTATAGGAGAGATTGCCAGCGCCCGTACAAAACCTTCAACAGGGTCAGAGTCTGTACCTGTAAGTAAAACAGGTCGAGAGCCCGAAGAGGATTGACGAAAGTAGAGGCTCAGTTCTCGGGGTTTGAGTGACTCCAGCGACAACGTAGTTGCACCCCACGGGAGTGAGGCGCCACGAGCACTACTGGGGTGTTTGCGGGCACACCGCCGTATACTTAGCGCACTAATTAATGGGAATCATTAATTAACTTTTCAAATAATTTGGAAATAATTTGGGGAAATTTAGTGAGCAGATTTCATAATTTGGGGAGATCTAGTTAATTAATTATTTATTTTTTTAAATTAAAGCGTATAGTTAGCGAAAATTCCTTATTGTTTATTTTTCTAAATTGGGAATTACGTAGAATCATTTGGGGAATCGATTTCGGTAGATTTCATAATTTGGGGAATTGCTGAAGAGTTGATAATTAATAAATTAAATAATTACATCAATTTCCAACCCTGCGCATGCGCGCGTCCACACCCGTTCCTTCCTTCGTTATCGACACTCGTTTAAAAAA